CATGTTCCATTGAATTAATTTTAAAGCACTCCTCAGAACGCCTCTGCAGGATAAGGAGATAATTTACCCATTTTACAGGCATGCAGCCTGTCCAAGGGGCAGACCCGTGCCCGGCAGCCTGCCCCAGATATTTGAAAGGCTATTTTACATTTCCATGACTCACCTTTCACTCAGAACTGTAGGAGCCACAGGTATTTCCACCCTCTCAGTGACACCCAATATAATTTTCTTTTTTTTTTTCTTTTCCCCCCAACATCTTTGCTAAACTTCACTTGAAATACACTTGAGTGTTTCTCTCCAGAAATGCAGCGCATCAGAGGGCAGGAGCCTGACTCTTCGTCCCTTCCCAACCTGCTGCCAGACTGGCCCTTCACAGCATGGACCTTCCTCAGCCTAAAGCCTTCCTCCCCCCACTGCACCACAACGGTGATTTTCCTCAACTAACGACCTCATTTGCACTTGCAGTTTCTTTCAACTAAGAGCCAGAGAAGGCTGACAACCTCAGAAGCAGGATAGTACCCCTGGCTCTGAAGAGAGGTAGCTCCCAGTCACTGCTGGTACAGAGCAGGAGACTGTAGGGTCCATGGATTTAGGAAGAGCGCACCGGGGAGGCGTTGCCCCCTGCCCCAGCCAGCTCTGCATGCTCTATTTCTTCCATGGTACAAGCTGTACGCTCTTATCACCACAGTACAGATGGGGAACGCTGGACCACAGAGATAAGGATGCTCAGAGGATGACAGCCATGTTTGGGAACACCATAAAGTATATGTTTGGCTTTTATTTCCGATGCTGTCAGCATCCTTGAAACTGGAACGACATTTTAATAAGTCCTAAATCTGCATTATAGAGCCCTTCACCAGCTGCGTGTACCATATGAAAACTTACATGACTGGATTGAGTTTATGCCAGCTGAAGAAAAATAATTAAAATCTGAAAGGATTATCATGTGTTTCATTACTGAACAGCAAAAGCTCAGGGCCGAGGAGTTATGAACAAAAGGCGGGTCAAAACCAGGTATTGGGGGATTCCCCCCATTTCCAGTATTGCTGCTGGAAACTGCCCAGTGCAGTGCCAAAAGATACTGAGAACTGATGCTGTTGCACATTTGCCACTTGTTACGAGAACAGCAGCTCAGTGCCCTGCCTCGTTACACTTGCATCTCAAGCAAAAGCGACACTGAAGCAGTATTTATTCTATTCACGGTTAAACTTATTTCAAACATGCAGAAGGCATAGCCCGCGCAGGAGGGCTCACCCAGCCCAAGGGACACCCTGGAGCTGCAACAGCATCCACTGCTGTCACGTCCTGCACCCCAGAGACTGTCCGGCTCCGGGGAACGAGAGCCAAGAGCTGGGGCTCCCTGCCCAGCCCCTCCGTGCCACTTGCCCCACGCCCAACTACGCTTTTCTGTTGGAGCCACAGGCACACACAGCTGCAACTGTATTTCAGCTGCTCTCATGGGAGTTTAATTAAGGAATAGGCTAGGACAAGGCAAATGTGTTCACATAAGATAAGTGTCTGACTAACCACCCAAGGCATATGCCATGGAACAAAGGCCTGGAGTCCATTGCTTATCCAAAAAGTTGTAAGAAAGAGCTGCAGATTTTGAAGTGGCTTTTCTGCTGGAACATCTATTTTCTACAGATCGGACAGTTTCTATATTGCTAATTATTTCTGTATCCTCCTCCTGGCTCTGCTTCTTGCTCAGTGCCCACCTCCTTGGCTCCTAATTGCTTGTCTTGGATCTTGTGACCCTGGACCAGTCAGGCTTAAAATTAGCCTCTAGAAGCTGCTCTTTCCAAGCCCACTCTTTACACATTAACTCTTGCCCAGGTCTCTGCACAGCCTGTCCTGTAGAGGACTATCTTGCAACACAGAGGGCCAAAATAAACATCACGAGCCAACAGCATTAATCCCAGCCAAAGAAATGCTCAAGTCATACGATTGCCTTCACAGCTTTCTTGGGCAGTCCTAGATTTTAACCTCCCAAATCCTCAAACAGTGAACACATTGAAGAGCCCATCATCCCTTTTAAAACTGATTTTTTTTTTTTTTTATTCTCCTGTTAAAAGTGGGGAAGGGAAGATAAGCTCTGAACTCCATCACAAATAAGCACATATTCAGCAAAAACAAAGTGCCACTTGTTTGAACTGTTCCCTCAATGACCAGGGTGCAGAGGACATGGCGAGGTGATGGTGCCAACCGACCCAACTACACAAGAGGCTCTGCCTTGGAAGTGCTTCAAATAATTAAGCACACAAGGCATAAATTTACCAAGATATGAAAAGCAAATGAGGTCAGTCTGCTCTCGTTTTCCTCATAGACTGTAAGGAAAACAAAAACTGCAACAATATTAAGAATATGATGCTTGGTCTTTTCTGCCAGCACAGCTCTGTCTCATAGGACTTGGGTTTTTTCAGGCCCTTAACCAGCAGAGCTTTGCCAGAAAAAGCCCTAAAGTAATGCAATTACATTGGCCAAAACGATCGCTTTGCCAGGGATTTTATTCTCTCCTGGGGACTGGCTTAAGCTGTGTGAGCAAAGAAGCCATCAGCAATCCCTTTTGAGTACAGACAACCCTTAAGTAAATATAAGAGAAGAAAAACTAAGTTTAAACAAGCCGTATTAAAATTTAGCACTGTTAAAGACAAGTCAGGCAAAGATGATACTTAAAATATGGGGTTTTAAACAAAAAACCCACCCTAGGAACGGTATCCTAGTAACAGTTTAAAAAGTAGCAGGTTCCAACCTACTTTATTTCATAGTTAAATACAAAAGAGAGCAGCACTTATCCAGGACCTTATCTCCTTCTAATAATAATAAATAGCTTTGACATTTTTTTCCTATATCAAATCTGTAATCAGTTCTTTTAAACAAAAACCCCTGGTGATAAACAAACCCAAGTGGTAATGTATTCTTTGTGGAAACAATTACTCACCTAACAGCAAAGTACAAAGTTGCCGGGCCCGGTTTCTTGGGCAAATCATGGTCCAGGACTCGGTGATCCAGCTGCAGCCAGACACTCTGACCTCTGCGGAAACAGGTTGGGGAGGCAGTTAAAAACTGGGACAGGAAATATAGAAACAGGGTTTTTTCAGTGCTCCTGTTTACTCCAAGTGTTACTTTAAAAAGAGCGAGATTCAGCTCTGAGACAGGCAAATATTTTGTCATTTTCTTTCCTTTTTTCCTAACTTTCAGATTTTGATGTCATTCACTTTTGGACAGTAGAGAACGCTCTTTGTGGTTGTATTTTCAGCTGCAGCGCAAAAGCCATAGCATGGCACCCAGAAAAAACTAAATATTATCGAAATACCCTTCTTTGCTATAGGTGGGGATGCTTCCATTGACTTCTTGTGTCTAGCGGGGGGATGCAATGTGTAGCAGAGGCTGGACATTTGCCTACAGCAGAAATGGCTCTGATCTCTCAAGGTCCCTTCCAACCCAAAGCATTCTATGGTTCTATGATCTCTTCTGCTGCGGGGGGAACCGCGCAGCTCCACGGCCGTATCCCCCCCTGCCCCAGTTCTGCACGATCCCCAGTCCCAGCATGCGATAAACCCCCATTTCAGAGCAGAGGGGTTTACCGCAGGCACACTCATTAAATGAGGCAGGTGTATAAAACACGCTTCTCTCTGCAGCGGCTTCTCTGCTTGAAATGGGAAGCCAGAAAGAAAACAAAAATCCCCCAAACCCCACTAACCTCCCTCAAGACCCTGGGGCCGATGGGGAGCACACAAGCCTGCGGCTGCCCCGAAAGGCTGGGGCATGGGTGCCCTCCAGAGGCCACACGCTCCCTCCAAGCACCCAGCCCAGCCCCATACGCCCAAGGCAGCCTCTGGAGCCCCACTGGTGTTTCTGGGCAAGCCAACAGCTTTTAGGTAATCCCCTGGCAGCGCTTTAAAGCTCACCGTGAGGGAGCGCCAGCAACCAAAAACCTCGCGAAGAATTTCATGGCAGCTCTTCTGGGGGGAAAAAAACCTAAGCCCAGCGCAAACAGCATCCTCAAGGGATTTATAGAAGAGCTGGAAGAAAGTATTTTTCCAACACTTGAAAGGACAAGGATGCAGCAAATATATTCTAGGGAGAGCCCAAGATGAGAGTGGCTGGTAAAAATGTATTTTTCCAACACTTGAAAGGACAAGGATGCAGCAAATATATTCTAGGGAGAGCCCAAGATGAGAGTGGCTGGTAAAAATAACACGCTGCTATGGTCAGGGTCCCAGAGTGAGCACCTCCTACCAGCTCCACAAACAGCAGCCCTGTCCCCAGGGCCAGTCCTGCACCTGCAGATGGGAACTGCCCCAAACACAGCTCCGATGCGATTGTAGGTGAAGGCTTCCATCCAGGACACCGTAAAAGCAGCAAGGACTAATATCATTGCCATTAGACAAGAAGAGGTTTATTTAGGGGCTGTATTAGTGCACAGCTCCATTTCCCCACTGCCCTAAGCAGCTCTGCTCCAGTTTTTTTGCAGAGCTGAAGGCAACTCTTCTGGAGACACCGGCCCTGGGGAGCAGAGTCCTGCCTGTGGGTTTCAGTCCTGCACCCAGCAGACATAGGGAAGCATTTCAGTGCAATGCTGACAGATGAGCCTGAACACCAGCTGAGATTTCAATTAACCCAGCCCATTCTGGGTCAATGCCACAGAAGCAGGTCTCCCATGGCACTCAGGAGCCTGGCCATAGCATCTCACCCAGCTGGGCAGCGGCCACAGGCAGAGGGTGGCAGGGGACAGGCAGCAGCTGCCTGAGCTGCCCCACTTACATCAGCAGAGATGAGAAACTGCCCCCAACCCAACCCCACCGCACACTTGCAATAGCCCAGCTGCTGGGAAGGGCAGGTTGTGCATCTTGAGCATGTTCTGCTTTTGCAGCTCGTTTTGGTAGTCTGCAGAATAGCTTGGATACCTAAAAGTAATAGGGAAGCTAGAGGAAAGTTGTTTATGGGAACGACTAACCTCATACTTCACTGCTGCTAGGGAAGTTTGGGTTTAAAAGACTCAATAATACATTGAGATTAAAGTGTAAAACAGTAAGAGCAATTTATTTTGAAAATAAATGCAAAAGCTTTTTGTTGCTAAAAGTGCAGAGTAGGAAAGCTGAGGGTGTTCACATGGGAAATTATTGCCGAATCAATTTTTTTCACCTTAAGAGACAAACATGAAAAGTGAAAGCATCAGGAAGGTATTTTGTAAGTATTCTCTGGTTTGTGCCCAGAAGATATTTTCCAAGTATTTTCTGTTTTGTGCCTTCCCCTTTCCTCAGCCGAGCAGCACAAGGTCAAGGTAGGAAAATCTTTCTTCTTCAAAAGTCGTTTTTCCATCATGCTGAGCTGCCACCATGTTGGGGATAGGTTTCACACTGCAATAATCACACAGCTGTTTAAAATAAATGAACATACTTACGTATCATCTATAAACGTTATCCCAAAATACTCCTTTTCTTTCAGGTTGAAATGTGAGGCCACCAGATCCAGTAACTCCCGAGACAAAAGTTTGGGCTATTGAGAGAATAATAATAATTTAATTGATTTCAGTCCAGGCTTTTCATATATAATAAGAAGCTTCTCTGCAGATATTGACAGTTAAGTACACGTGGCCAAGTTAAAACCCTGTTGTACAACTCAAATACAGAAGTCGCTCCATCAGACACAGGGCAGGAGGATACGGCATATGGTGTGTCCGTGGAGCCACGGGATGTGCGGAGCACGGAGAAGCAGTTATGTACTTAACCCACAACATCAAGCTGATGCCTGCGGACTGACTGCTGCTTTCCTCTTTCTGGGAAAAAAAGGTAGTAGCTCAGGCTCTCCTGCACTTACAGCAGGAGGGATTTTTTCAATTAAGAAAATACTGTGTACTGGAGGATGTTGTGCTTTGTGTTCTGTTACGGGAATAAAACACATCCCCAGAAATACAGACTTTTCTTCCCTTCTAATTTACAAAATAACACCACCACGAGGGGTACGTTTAATACGCTTCATGAATTCTGGTGAAAGCAGATAAAAAATTGAATGCAGAACTGATGGCAGGTATTTTGCCCACTGTGCACCAACATCCAAGGGAAACCTTCCTGCTAATTCAGGTCTGAGGAGGGGTATGGGTGCCGGAAAGCATGCCCATTTATTCCACTTCTGTTAGTCGCTCTAGCAACTTTTCTCCAAACATTACTTTCTGCATCAGCCCCAACAGCACTACTAAACAAAACCAGCAGAGAAATCTGGCACCGTGCTACCGGTGCCCAAAAGAGAGGGGTCTGTACCTGAACCAGCAGTTCCAAGTTCCTGTCATCGAGGAGATGCACCTGGCAGTGCCGGCCCTCTGTCATCTGCAAAGACAGCAACACAGCACCGTGAGGAAGGGCAGGATCCACGGCTTTCCTGGTGTGGCTCAGGGGCAAGGACAGCGCATAGCAAGTGTTTAATCTACGCTGATAAGGGAATCGACTCCATACTGGAGCTGAGTGTCCTTCTCCAAGGACTCTCTTGGGAGCTGCCTCAGCACTCTCAGCTCCCATCATCTTCAAGCTGGAATTAAGGGTGCTTAGCAGCACTCAGGATCAGATCAAAGTGACCTAAGTGCTGTGAGAATTTAATTTGATGATGAACCAGCCCAGCTAGTGCCATGGCCACAAACAGCAGCAACAACCTTTTGCTCCGGTGAGGAGCAAAAATGACCAGGGACTCATGAAATCTCCATCTATCCAACCCTCTCTGCAGATGGGTCAGCCTAAATTTGGTCCTTTGACAGAGGACCTGGTCCTCCATCTCTAGTCTAGATGGAGTCTCTACCGGTACATTAACACTCTCCCTTGGATAACTTTTCATTAGAAGTCATTGCCTCCACAGGCTTCTTACGTAGATGCTTGCACACGTCAAGACAGGTGCTTGAACTGAATGATTAAGAACAGGATGAGCTTTGAAACCTCTAACATATCTGGACCACCTTGCTTCCCACTTCATGTCACATTTATCTTTGGCAAACAACATGTCTTTCTCTCTTTAAAAGGAGAGCAATTCAGAAATAGCTGCACATTATGTCCTTTTAATATCTGCCCTTTGAAATCTAATAGATTTCCACGAAAGCTTTTACATTATTTAAAATGTGTTCTAATTCTGGACCTCTCGCTGGCTTTGGTGAAGACCGGCTTCACACCACTCTCTGGGCAAGAGCTGCTGAAGGAAACCTGGCTTTTCTATTTATTCTCCCAGCTTCAGAGTAACTCATTTTCCTGACAGCACAAGCTTCTCACAGACTATAAATTCTGAGCTCTGAGCAGAGGCTGAGGGTGGTTTGCTTAGATAGGGGGTCCCAGAGGGATTAAACAGCAACACACAGTGGTTTCTTCTTTCACATCCCTCTGGCTCCGCAGGGATGGGGACAAGGGCAGGGCTGAGCTCCACTGCCACCAGCACCCCCTCATCACCTCCCATCCTGGGATGCTGCACATCCAAACCTTATAAAGGCTTAAAAATAAATACAATTTATACCCGATGGCAGTATAACCGAAGAGACCTCCTGCCTCCCCCAGCGCTGCCTCCGTTTCAACACGTGGCTGTTCGCACAGCGAGGGCTGCCGAGATACAGCCTCTTCTGTCACCAGTCAGCCGTGAGCAGCCAAATTAACAAAGCTTTATTGTTTCAACTACTTGAGCTCATTTTGACCAAAACTCGGGAGGGAGCCCCCTCCTGAGGAGCTCTGCAAACAGGTCAGAGATGAGCATCTGTGGGCACAACTGTCTAGCGTCCGGGAAAAGGGGGCTAGGGCATCTGTGGCACCAGCGCTGGCAACTTGTGGCGCTAATTAAACATGTATCATCACATCGCTCGTCAAAGCGGCAACACTAGTAAAAGGGCCATTTGCAGAGCAAGTCTGGCTGGAAGAAACTGCTTCTTTTTCACTTCTCCTACTGCTGTGAACATGAATTTGTAGAGAAGTACCAGATGAAGATTGACTTCTTGGGCATCCTTGTGCTATCACGGAGATGGCAGCGATGCACCCCGTGCAAACCACGGCCTCACCCCACGGTACTGCACCCCGAGGAGGCGTCGGCCCAGAGCTGCGCTAGCCCCAGGCCCATGCTCCCAGCAGGGCACCACTTCCAGCGCTTTATCCTTCAGGTTTTGGAAGCAAAGCTGCAGCATCCTGCCTCCAGCGCGCTCCCTGCGATTTAACCGCTCGCCAAACACGCTGCCTGAAGCCCTTAAATCCATTACAATCTGATCACGGGTCCATTTGTTCCTGAGCACTGAAGGTCTGCCATCACATGCTCATAAGTCAGTCACATTACCATCAATTAATCATTTCATCAGCACACCCTTCAAGGTGGTGCATATTTCTGGCTCTGACATACTGTTACCAATCTGCCCCTGTTGCGAAGGGTCTGATCCAATAGTGTTTTTAAATCATTTCCCATCTGTTGCTCTGAGATAGCACAAGGGTTGCCATTATTTAATTGCTAGTTGCTTCAGCTTTCACCCAGTGAAGTCACATTAATCACTTCTGACTGTTTTTAATTGCCTCTGTTGTCTATTGTTGAGTAAAAAAGGTTTCTATTATAGCAAACACATCCACAAAGCCTTGTGCGGAGGAGAAAGGAAGGTTGCCAGGAAGATTAAAACATAAAAGAAATACCAACTGTAATCTGTGCTTCTATTCGACTATCCAGGGTAATTGCAAAGCACCTTAAAAGTAAACTAATTAAACCTCATGACACCCCTGAAGATAGGCAAGATATAAATATTCCCAATATTATTGATGAGAAAACCTAAGGGCGTAGCTTAAAAGTCTGGCTTACAGATATAGATAACATTTAGTACGTGAGTCTCCAGGAATCTCATCTCAGAAGAAATCATACAGCTGCTTCCCAGAGTACTGGAAAGCTCAACCAAGAAGTTGCAGAAGGTGCCAGGGTGCTCAGCAATAAAGCACCATGAAATGCCATTACTGTGACACCTGTCAGTTCCCACCTGTATCCCCAGAGTTCTATGTGGCAGTGGGCTCCTGTCACCCCAGGAATGCTCTGTCGCGTGGTGGGACACAACAGCAGTGTCCAGGGCCATGAGATATCTGCTGCTGGCTATAGCTCAAGGAAGAAGGGGGCCCTGGAGCCCTTTCCATTTGCTCCTTGCACCCCTCTGCACCCCAGCCCATGCACGCACACCCAAGGGCCACATCCCTGCTAAGATGCCTTCTCCACCTGGGCTGAGGATGGATACTCATGGATACTGACTGTGTGGCAGCACAGCCCAGGCAAGGAACACAAATCTGCCAGGGTGACTACCAGCTTTGCATTTGCAGGCTCCAATCCCTAAACAAAGCAGTGTCAACTAGGACAGCCCAAACATCAGCCCTTATCCTCCTCTTGCAGACCCAAGGCTTTAGTGACCAGCACCCTGGTTTCTGCAGCTGTGCAAGAGCTCACTCCCAGTATCCCCACCCCATTCCTGATGGGGCAGAGAGCACTTCTCTTGGCTTACTCTGTCCTTACAAACACACTCAGAAGCAAATCACTCCCAGCTACTACCACAGAGCAACACAAGCCCATCCTGCATCAGGAATGTCACCTGCCCAAGAGGTCATCTCCAGGAGACAGCTCTCTCCTCGCATGGAGCTGCCCCCCTGTGCAGACGGGGCTCCTATATACAAGCCAGTACTCACATTTTGCAAGCCTCTTCTGCACAGGGGGCAGAACCAAAAGCTTCAGAGCCTACTGCAGCCACAAGACCACCTCACGAACTTTGGAGTATCAATCACGTTCCACCGGCCCCGTATTGTCCCAGCGCAGTGACGCAGAGGTGCGTGCAACATGACTGCGGCACAGCAATGCCACACGTGCCAGCACGGTCACAAGGTATCAATGGTCTGGTCCTCTCCTCTTGCCTGAAGAAGAGCTGGGGAGCTTCAAAAAGAGGACTTCACCACCATAGTTACCACAGAATATATAAAGAATTTTGGTCGTGGAAGAGTGCCTCCAGCTCAGCGACCAGAGACCCTGAGCTCTTGGAGCCAAAGCAGCAAAGGACTTGTTTTCAACTCCCCCAATGACACCGGCGTGATTTATTTCCCCGCAGCACATCCGCTCACAGGCCTCCTTCCTTGGGCTCTGGGAAGGGACCCGTGTTTGACTCCCCAGCTCTCACGGTGCTGGGCTCCTCGTCAGAGGATCATTTTCATCTTTAATTCAATTCGTCTTGCTAATCTGAACAATACAATTGATTTTCTATGTAGTTGGACCAATCCATCATGAGATGAGCACAGCTGTCTGGCTCAGTTAAGAGGTGGCATGAGCAGTCTTGAGATATATATACACACACATCTGTGTTTTCAGCTTCTTCTCATTGATTTTGCATTGTCTGTACAAATGAACAGTTTTGTTACATTTTTGCAACATGCCTCCAAGTTGCTCTTTTTAGCAGTTATTTTTAAAAGCCTGCTAATATTTAAGCTATTATCCAGTAAAAGTAGCAGCAGCATAAAATTAATGAAGTATCCCTGTATCTCATCTCACTCCCAATAGGAAATTAGCAGAGCGACGTAATGCACAGCCCCATTTTTGGCAAAACCATACTGAGATATGGGATGCTGGATTCTTCTTGTTTCCCAGAGTCACTCGTATGCTCTGCACACAAGAAAGCAATAAGAACTCAAAAATGGAGAGGAATGAAAAGGAGACAAACACTGTACAGTGCAGAAATGCAACAATATCAACATATTGCAGCCCTCCTAGCTTACAGTGGGCTTTCAGCAAGAACCTGGTTTACCCAGATCTTCAGTAAAAAAAAGGCAGATAACAAAGCAGAAGAAACACACAATTCTCAGAATCTTCATGTGTGGAAATTAAAGCATAGGGGGACATTGTGATCCTATATAGCAGGTTAACATGTTCAGAAAGGTTTTATATAGCTGGGAGAAAAAAAAAACAAAACATTTTTCCTCCATCTCACTTGTGACACAAAAAGTAAGACAAATTCTTCACCTCAAGTCATTGGGGCAGATTTTCCAAAACATCAGTTCTTTAAAAAGAAAAAACCAACAAGGCAGAGAAAAAAACCCTACTTCTTGGCTACTTAAACCAATTCCCTGTGATATCCTGAGCCTGAATGTTTATTTGGGGAAAGAAGCCATGCAGGATATTTATGCTATTTCTCTTCGGCCGAAACATCCTCCCTACTCGAAGCTAGTTGTTACATGCAATATTTTTAGACGTTCATGTGTGTTATCCAATTCAGAAAAAATAAGAAAAAGAAAAAAGTAATTAGACAGGGTGTAAACAGGAAACCTCAAAAAAACTTAGGTTAAAAAAAAGCTGACAGAATAATGTATCT